GTTCCGTGCGATACGTCTGTTTCCTCTATAGCTGGGCTGTAGCTTAGCTGGATCTGAGAGTCTAGATAGATATAGAAGAATCTGCCACAGAGATTTCTGAGTCAGCCAAGGCTTTACTAGTGCAGCAATACGCTACATATTCTTCCATTCATTGTGTTTTTATACGCTAATTACTGTTAATCTTGAAGGCAAAACGGAAATTCAAATACTTTCTCCCAATATTCACAAAAGCCTCTCAAAATGATTAGGTTATTTATTAATTCTTTCAGTCTTTTGTACCTTATATTAAATACAGGATATCTGGGATGCAGCAGGCATTTCCCTATTACTAGGTTATGAAGAAAGGTTATTGTGCAGACACACTGGAAATTTTCATCCATCACCAAAAGTTTCATGATAGTAGTTTTCAAATTTAATTTTTCTTTAATGATATTCAAAAAAGGTGAAACCACAGTCATTATCATATGCCTTATCAAATTCCTATTGGTTTAGAGGTCGTTTGACGTGGAGCCTATATCAACAACAAGAACTTGTTAGAAGCAAGGAACAATAATAAATCTGAATCACCCACGAAAAACCACCTTACATATCTACCATTTTATTAAGGAAACAGATTTAAAAATCCATCCTTATTTCGTTTTGTAGTAGCGGATTGCTACGCTAGTAAAGCCTGACTAACTCAGAAATCTCTATGGCAGATTCTCCAACATCTACCTAGACCGACTCAGAAATCTCCATGGCAGATTCTCAAACATCTAGCTACCGGCTCAGAAATTTCTATGGCAGATTCTCCAACATCTAGCTAGGAATCAGAAATCTCTATGGCAGATTCTCCAACCTCTAGCTAGAGAACAGCTAAGCTATAGCTCAGCTATAAAGAAAACAGACGTGTAGCACGGAGCGCGTTTAAACCAGCTAAGCTATAGCACAGCTATAAGGAAAACAGACGTGTAGCACGGAGCACGCTTATTCAGTACGGATTCAGACGTGTAGCACGGAGCACGTTTTTTCAGTACGGGTATCAGACGTGTAGCACGGAGCACGTCTATTCAGTGAGCATATTACGAACCAGCTAAGCTATAGCCCAGCTATAAAGGAAACAGACCGAAACTAGCTAAGCTATAGCCCAGCTATAAAGGAAACAGACGATAATTCGGAACACGTATATTCAGTCACGTAATGATCAGAAAAGTGTGCACGGAGCACGTTTATTCAGGACGTATCTTGCGGATCAAGTGGGAAGCAGACGTGTAGCACGGAATACGTTTATTCAGTACGTATATCAGGATCAAGTGTACACGCATGGAGCTACTCATGATCAGGATGGATAAAGCGTACACGCAGGAAGCTTAATCATGATCAGGATGGCGGATTTGCTCGGTCACTGTTTTTACGGTGGCACCTCCCAATCTTGGCGTGCAGGCATGCGATGACGTAGCACCTCCCAATCCTGCCGTGCAGGCATGCGATGACGTGTCCCCTGGCGTGCAGCATGCGATGACGTGCCCCACAAGTTGTTCCTCCTAACACAGTTTAATGGCTATCCACTCATCTATCGGTTATCCTTGGAAGAAGTTTGTATAAGAGCCAAGAACCAAAATTAAATTTACTGTATAAAAATATAATTTTGAGCGGAGACTAAAGTGAGCCAGTCAAATTCTAATTAAAAAATGTCCTAATTATGACTCCGGATTTTGAGAATGTCGTGGCTTAATTCAAATTAATGATTTTAGTAATTAAATTTTAATAGAGACGTTGGACATAAAATATGGAAGCTAGTGGAACTCCTACTTACCCCATCCAACATAAAAGTTTCCGTGATATAGGAGGATTTTGGCTTCTCCAAATTGGCAAATCCAACTCGCCATCGATAGCTTCCAGGATCGATAACAATCGGAACTTCAGGCGTCAGAAGTTCACGCATGCCTTGCCTTTTCTGATCAACATACTATACCACCTTTATTGTGAGTGTGTGAAAAGCGAATTAGAGAATGTGCAGCTCATTCCCTTCTAATTGGTTGAAGTATCGCGAAAGTGCTACTTGTGAATTCATCATGCCTCAACATATAATGGTGATTTCAACGGAAATTAGACTCATGTGTGAGCCTGTTCACCGCTCCTCTTGATGTTAATGATTGAGCACCTGAGTAAACTTTGATTATCACGTATAAATCCATTTACCTACGAGGCAATGAATTATTGGTGCGTACTCTAGTCCTTATTAAAAAATATAATCAATAATTTAAAGTAATTACCTATCCTTATGATACAGCAGAAGTTGATTTTTTCGGAGGCATTTATAGTGGACTTTAGTTCTTCCAATTAAAAGAAAAAAATTAAAACAGAAAGAAAGAAACACGACCTTCAATAGTATTTTTGTAGGGGAAGGGAGCGAGAATGACTAACTTAAACGTGGTGCGCCCAGGCCAACGTATTCTCATACGGCTGAAAGTCTATAAATCGACAGTTGACTTCTGAATATGTCATATTCGACCACTTTCACAGTACTCACCTTACCTCGACTATTTGTCATATTTGACCCCTTTCACAGTACTCATCTTACCTTGTCATATTCGACCACTTTCACAGTACTCACCTTACCTTACCTTTCTCTCTAACTTTGTGTCTGTCCCTTCTACACTTGTGAATCACTCTTCTGTCCCCCCCCTCCCCTCGAGTTTGTTGTCGCTTTGATGTTCCTCCCCTCTGTGAAGCCCGAAGTAAACTGAAGGGTTAATGATAGCCTTCATAAAGCCTGCCATTTTATATTTATATATGCCTGGTGCTTGCAGTCGCCTCATAGGCTATGGCAAACACAATAATTAAATGTTAACATACAACTCAAATACGCCAATTTTTCTGTGATATCTTTGTCTGAAATAAAACGACTCCCCTATCCTCTCATGTCATGTTTGCTCACATTATTATTGTCATTACTATTATTATAACAGCACCAAGTAGTCGTTTTGACAACGCCCCATTTTCGCAAATGCCCCCTTTTCCATGGCCAATGACCAGAAGTGGCAGAAGTGCCACAGAAGTGTCTACAATTTGAGTCATTATTCAATTAGTGGACGATATGAAGGAGGTGTTACCTGTCTGTGTCGGCTTAATACTTTCTTAATTCTTCGTACTAATTCTCTCGGTTGTTCAACTGCCTACATGCAAGGTCAACTTGCCTCAAGCAATGTCCTTTGACACTACTTGACCCAAAATGGGGCTACACTACAACCAAGGTCGTGTTGAGAGATGTTGCTGCAAAATTACTCACAATTGGAGTAAATTAGCACCAGATCTCACGAATATTGATTGATGACTGCCTTGGTAGACACTGCAAGAACACCCTCGATTGCCCAACAAGCAACAAGCGCACTCGACATCCCTCTGAACAGTCCTGGTAGGGTCGAACACTCCACAGGTTTTTAAGTCTGCTTTCTGCAGATATAATCTAATTGCCCACTAGCAATGGCTAGACTGAAGGTGGCTCAAACCCGAGGAGTGCCAGACAGTCTGGTTTATGTTGGTGAAATTATCTAATGACTTTTAAGAAACCCAATTTGCCTGAGGGCTGCTGAAAGACTGCTAATATACGTGATTAGTGATAGGCAACAATAGACACTACGCCATTATCCTGGTTTGGCTGGTAGACAAACAAATCGCTAATTTATTTAATTCATAATAATTGCCTTTATCATGCCTGCAGACATCGCCTAGATAATCTTTAACGATTAACTGTTCAATAATAAAATTAGACTTGGTAAAATTCTTAGACTAAATAATTACTGCCTTGAAGTACTAAAACCAGATGAATGTCTGGAACGGCCATCAATTGCTACTGGTATTTTCAATTGTTTAAAATTTACTTTAAGTGTAACCTTGAGTTACTTGGGGGTTCCAAGAAAGTGGAGAAACCCGACTGACTAAACAGGACACAAACCATCTGCACAACGATGAGACGATCTTGAAAGAGTTTTCCAGGAGATTTATTCAACGTTCTTACCAAAACTCGCTTTCCAGTTAGACGATTAGGTAGTCTCTTGGAGTAAAGTTATTTATTTATATTAAATGACAGGCGTTTTGATAGCTATCATTAGCCCTTTAGTTGACTTCGGGCTTCACAGAGTGGAAGGAACATCAAATCGAAAAAAGTCGAGAGTGGGGGGGGGGACAGAAGAGTGTTTCAAAGATGTTAAAGAGAGAGACACAATGGTAGAAAAAAGGTGAGGTGAGTACTGTGAAAGTGGTGGAATGTGACATACAGCCTGGCCATGATAGACTTTTTGTGATATGAGTGCACGTTGGCCAGGGTGCACCACGTGGAGACAAGTCTATCGCTCACCCAATTTTGACTCAGATAACGTTTGTGGATCATTGAAGTTTAAGGTAATGAAGACATATTCAAGCACGACCCAAGAGAAAGCTGATCCAATTTAGGAGGAAGTTATCGTACTCAAAGTGACAAGTTCTGCATTAACAGACTAGCAGATCAACTTTTTCTTTAATTTAACGGTCAGTCAGGCATACCTTATTATTTTCGTTATTTGAAAATCCGTTCTTCAGCACCTATGAGAATAGACCAAGACATCTGAAAACGCAATCTGGTCTAATACAGAAAGCCACAGAACTGAAGAAAGAATTACAAATCGATAACAAACCAAAAAGCCTCTCTCTTCCCATGAACCCATTGGCAGACACTGATGTAGTGTGTTGCACCCAACTGCTTGACTTCTTCAGGAAATCAAACACCGCTCCAGAGCAAATGCGCTCACTGGTCCTTGAGACAATCAATGTCAACTATCCTGCAGATCAATGGCTCAAAGTCTTCACTGATGGGTCATACATAGAAAACCAAGCAAACTTTGGTGCAGGTGTCTACTCTGAACTCTTCTCTTTCTACGCAGCAG